CATTCCGAGTCAGAATTAGAGCCTCAGTGAAGCTGTTGACAGCACAGAGCCCCTTGCCAGGAAACTGCACACACACAAAAGCTCACATAAAGGTCCAGTCTTCCATGTGTGCCTCAGAGCCTTCCGTAGACAGCCCCGCCATGGGATGGTGAAGGCCAAGCCAAGAGCCTTTACTTTAGGATCATGCCTCTCTGGTTCCATTGTTATAGACTGGCTTATCAGATCCTGTTCTTGAGATGCCACTGAAAGCAGGAACTGGGACTTAAGACAGCCTCAGGTTACCCAGGTGGCTGCGCCAAGAAGTGGCACGATGGGGTGGGGTCTCTTGTGAAGGTCCTTGGGGCTGCAGCAACAGTGATGGACTCCGGCTGGCTTCAACTCAAAGGGGGACCATGAGCTCCCAGAATCCGGGGTGACTGAACAGCTGGACCCGGGAAGGACAGGAAGGACGGGCTTGAGAAGGTGCTCTGGGCGCTGGGAACAACTGAAATGGGACTTCCTTCTCCTTGCTTCTTGGCTTTACTCCATGAGTCGCTTTGGTTTTCCAATACCCAGACCAATTTCCCTTTCTACAAGCAGGGAAGCGTGGCTGTCCAGAGTAGGGTTTCTTTCTCATCCACACACAAGAGATCATCCTCAAATACTTTCTAGGCTTAAATCCTGGGGAAGGTGTCCCCCATGGACCAGTCAGCCAGACCAGGGGCAAGGCCACACTGGATTGGCATTAGCTCCCTGTAACTCTCCCAGAAGGAGAGGGTGCTTCCTGGAGATGGCACTGGGCAGGTGCCCCAGGTGTCTATTCCATGGATTCCCAAGGCCTTGGCTGGAACCCGATCCCATCACAGCCAATTCCTCAGGGTTAGAAACAGTGGGGCAGGAGGGCAGGAAAGCAGTGGTTACCAAAACCCAGGGTCACACAAGCTAGAGGAGACTGCCACCTCCCAGGAGTGACCCCACAGCGAGAGAGCAGAGGAAGCAGTGGTCCAGCCTGCTCCCCAGCAGCCAAGGCCAGGGAGCTCACTGACCCGGTCCCCACAGTGCAGCATCAGCCCACAGCCCAGGGTGCAGAAAGGTAGAAGTCAGATCTTGCGGGAGAGGGGGCAAGTGGAAGATTCCAGCCCAGCCCCAGCACGAAGCTGGTTCAGAGGAGGCATCCACTGTTTTTAAAGTATTCTCATTTTTTTTCCTAATCAACTGAGTTCTATTTGTTGCATAATAAGCCACCTAACATCTTTCAGCTAAAAATATTAAATTTGAATAAAGATAATACAAAATGAATTAAAGCCCAATTAAAATTTGCTTTGGGGAGGGAACACAATTCTACTCAATTAAGAAAAACATTTTTATAGACCATAGCTTAGTTTATTTTTAACACCCATCATGCCATGAATTCATAGAGAATAGGTTCCAGAAGCTCAGGCTCCTTTCCATTGGTTCTCACACAGTGGCTTCTCTGGCCGGAGCAGGCTGGCGCTTCAGTCGAACCCAGGTACCTCTCTCTTTGGCTTCCTTCTTTTTCTGGTCATTTTCCTTCCCATGTTCTAGGAAGCTATCTCTGCTCTTAGAATGCTTAATATGCTCAATACGCACATTAGTTCTCTTGGCAAGAGTCTTGCCCTTAACTTGTTTGTTCACAACAACGCCAACAGCATGCTGGGTCACATTGCAGACTCTTCCAGTGTTGCCATGGTAACATTTGTGAGGCATTCCTTTTGAACAGCACCCACTCCCCCATCTTTATTGTAGATTTGCATGTATTTAGAACCTTTCTTGTAGAACCACTCCATATTTTCTAAAAGGTCTAGAGAATATATCTTGGGTGCCTCTCCTTTGTCCCTTTGTGTTTGTCATTTTGGTGAATTACTGGAAGATGGTGATTCTGGCCAAAAGGAAGCAGAATTGTCATTTTAAATAATGAAATAATACACAGAGAATATCCAGTGTACCCACCCACCCCCCATATTTAGCAGAAGTTACTATTGCCATGTTTGCTTCATATTTTTTATTTTTTAAGAGAGATTTTTGCATTAGGGTGCGTGTGCTCGCCAGAGAGACATAAAACAAGAAATCACCCCCTGGGGAGAGATGGCCACGCCACAATCTCTTCTCCTCCATTCTCCTCTTGGGATCTTGGGCACGCACGCACATGCGCCCAGCATGAGTTTTAAGCCACTAGATCGTGGAATCGAACCACAGGCAACCACATAGGAGTCCAAGGACGTAACCGTTTTACACCATCTGTTGGTCCCTGCCTCATATTTATTTAAATAACATGATGTACAAAGGGAAGGCCCTTGTCACCCCATATGCCTCTCTCCACCTCCTCCCTGTAGAGTCTTACCGTCCTGGCATCGTTTCCCATTTTTCTTGTGCAGGTTCTGTGTCTTCCTGGGTACGTAATTATGTGCAAATGTACACTGTTTGTGTTCTATACAGTTTGGCATAAATGGCATCATGCCATAAACACTCTTTTGTTAACCTACTCTTTCTGCTCATGTTTTCATGATTATCCATTTTGATATCTGTAGAATTAATTGCTGCTGCTGCTTCCTCTTCTTTTTGCTTTGTAGAATTTTAAAAATTTGTTTATTTCTTTTATGAACAAGAGAGAGAGACAGCACCCCTAACAGAGTCTTTTGGGTTTTTTTTTTTTAAAGAATTATTTTATTTTTTCTTTTCTTTTTCTTTTCTTCTTTTTTTCTTTTTTTAAAATTTGACCAGAGAGAGACACAGAGAGAGAGGGAATGTGAGAAAGCAAGCCACCAGGTCCAGAACTTGAACCAGGGTCAGCCATGTGGGAGTGTCCAGTGCTTTAACCACCATGCCACCTGCTGGTCCCCCTTAACAGGATCTTGATGCCACAATCTTCCCACTTTCAGTCAAGCCCAGATCTTGGACAAGTGTATGCCCATACTCAAGGAGGTCTCCAGACTTGAACTGGGAACTTTCTTATTGTACTGCTGCACCATCATGTAGTCCCACTTTATTATTGTAGAATTTCTTGAATGAATAGACCACAGCTCATGTATCTGTTTCTGCTGAGGAAGAAGTAGGTCTCTACCCTTTAGCTGTTGCACATCTTGCTACATTGCGCATTCTTTGTATAGTTCTGCAGCCCCTAATGACGGGGATACGTTCTGAGACATGCGTCCTTAGGCAACTTCGTCATGGTGCAGCCATCAGAGGGCGTGCTTGTGCAGACCTAGATGGGGTAGCCTCCCACGCACCTAGGCTACATGGCACAGCCTCTGTGCTCCTTGTACAACCATCATGCCTGTGACGCTGACCAAAGTGCACTCACATGGTGCCTGGCTGCGGGTGTATCTCCTCGTGTATGTGTGCAAGAGTTTCTCTAGGGTACATACGTGGGATTGGCATGTGTGTTTTTCAAGCCCTCAGGTCCAGGACGCCAAGTGTGCAGTTGGCCAGTAGGATCCAGCCTCCTTTACCACCATGCCACTGGCTGGCCCCGCCTGACCTTTTAACAGTGATTTTCCTTTTTTGTTTGTCTGCTACAGAAAGGTTTGGGTTTAATGTAATGTAATTTATTCATGTTTCTCTTCAAGATTTACGCTTTTTCTTTGTTCTTGCTCCCAAGCTCCCTCAAATTGTCTCTATTTTTTTCCCTAGAAGCTTTGCATTTTTGCTTTTCAGTCATGATATGAATCCCCTTGTTTCATATAGAGCAGGACTCTAACTTTGTCTCTTTCCCACCTGGAACTCAATGTGGTTCTTGCCCCACATACTGACAGCTCCCTCTGTGCCCTACGGTCTCAAATTGCCCCACCATAAGGGAGTAATTCTGGGTTCTCACTTCGGATTCACTGAGCAGTGTCTCTCCCCATGCCCTGATACTAAACTAAGTTCTGTGTTTTGTTCCGACACTTGTTGGGGCACAGTATACACTGCTCTTCAGAATCGTCTCAGCAACTGGTGGTCGAGGTGCTGGATCCCATGTGACTGTGTGGTTCAATCCCAGACCCGACAGCTTAAAAAACATGCCAGGCACATGTGCGTGCCCAAAGTCCCAAGAGGAAAGTGGAGTAGAAGAGATTTCGACATGGTCATCCCCCTGAGGGGGTGCTTTCTCACTTTCTCTTCCTCTCTCTCTGGCAAGTGCATGTGACCTACAGCAATTTTTTTTTTTTTGGAGAGGTTTTTTCGCTATAGAGCGCGTGCGCTCACCAGACACACAGAGAGAGACATAGAGACAGAAAGCGGGAAATCACCCCCCAGGGAGGATGGTCACGCCGCAATCCCTTCTCCTGCATTCTCCTCTCGGGATCTTGGGCACGCACGCACACGCGCCCAGCGCGAGTTTTAAGCCACCGGGTCCGGGACGCAAACCGCGGTCAACTACGTGGGAGTCCGGCGACATAGCCATTACGCTAACTGCTGGTTCCCATACAGCAAATTTTTTAAAAGAAAATAAAATAAGCATGTTTACTATGAAGGTCCATATAAGCCCATGATCAGCTCCTCCCAGACAGGCCTGGGACCTGAACCCCAAATGCTGGGTGACACTCTCGCTCAGCAAATGCGCTGCTCAGTCCTTCTTGCTGAACGAGTGTGTAGAGAACAGGACTTGGCTATGCAGGGCTTGGGGCAATGAAGCCAGAAGGTATACTTTTACGTCTCTCTGTTACTCACCAGCTGGGTGGCCTTGGATAAGTCGTGTCCTGGGGCAACCAGGCCAGGCGGCTAAACCCTGCATCCATCCATGGCCCTCTCCCCTCAGCTCTGTAGCAGCCAGTGCAGCTGCCCAGCCAGGCACAGCAGGACACAGGCCATCCGTCGGGCGTTTGTCACCTTGGGAGTTAATTATATTGGGTGGGAGAGGTCAGAATCTATGAGTAGGAAGCTGTGGGGTTCATATGAGCCTTGTCCCACCAGTGACAGTGAGGTTGGGTCCCTTACTCCAAACCTCAGCCCCCTCCTCTAAGCCTCCAGGCCCCCCAGTTCAGCACTGTAACCTCATCCCCTCTCTGCTCTGTTCACAGGCCCCTCCACTGGCTCCAGCTCTGCAAGGTTCAGCCGGAGACCCACCTGTCCCGATGCGTCTGTGGCTGGCAGCCTCCCCACACCTCCTGTCCCCAGACACAGGAAAAGTCACAGCCTTGGCAACAAGTAGGTATCTAAGCAGGCCCTGCCCAGGGCCCCAGGTGGCCTATGCACGGTTAAGCTGAAGGGATGCCGGGGCTGCTGCTGCCAGGCCTCTCCTCCCCATCCTGGGGGCTGCGCCTAATGTCCCTGGCTGCTCTGCTGCCCTGAGCCCAGTAGGGGTTTGTCCTGAGGGGCAGCTGTGGCAGCGGAACCGTGTTCCATTGACAGGTGACACAGGTCAGTGATTCCTGGTTGGAGGGGAGACACAGGGAAGGGCAGGAACCAATAGGACAGTTCCAGAATATTTGCCCAAGCTCAGTTAATGGGGGACTTACCCATGGAGAACACCAGAGCCTGGTGGGCACCGTGATTGTCATCTAGGGCAGCAGGAGGTGTTAATGTGCAGAACACTGACTCTGCTGCTCAGCCAGCCCCGTGGGGCCCACAGCAGGGGCCATGCGCGAGTCCCTGTCCTGGCTGGGTTGGCCTAGTCCTTATCCCCAGGGTGTTGGGCATAGGCTTCTGAACAGCTGGACCCATCTATTCCTCCGTCCCATCCTTCCTCCCTCCCACCACTAAGCCACGAGCCTCCGCCCAGCCCAGACTGGCCCTGGCAGAGCTCCGGGCTGGAGAAGAGCTGCTCTCTGAGCAGTCAGCCCTTCTCTGTGGACACTCTGCTCGTGTCTACCAAGCATCCCCTCATTGAGTCCCCAAGGAAGCCTCCAAGGTAGGTACCGGCACTGCATGACAAGCTGAAGTCCCCCGCAATGGTGAGGAAACGCTGGAGCGAGATCGGCACCAGGCGTGCATGACTGTGGACCCAGAAGTGCTGGCCGCAGGTCTGTTCCCTTCACTTGTGCGGACTCGTCACTTGCAAGCTCCATCTGCTCACTCGAGCCTCACGGTCATCCTGCAGACAGGCGGGGCAAGTTTCATGAGTCCCCAATGGATGGATGGAGAAACTGAGGCTCAGACAAAGGATGTGGCTTGCCCAAGGTCATGCCATGAGAGAGGGCAGGCCCCAGCCCATGCTGGGGCTCTGGCAGGAAGCCTTTTTCCTGCAGCTGCGCCTTCCACTCAGACCCACGGCAGGTGTCCCTGCTGCGACTCCACAGATAAGGAGCTTTGCCTTCTCTCTTCCTTTCCATTTTCCAGTATGATGTGTCAGTTGAGTGTAGTTGAGAGTAAAAGTGCGACATTCCCATCGGAGAAAGCGAGGCACCTGCTGGACGACAGCGTCCTAGAGTCCCGCAGCCCCCGCAGGGGCCTCACCCTCACCTCCTCCTCTGCTGTCAGCAATGGACTCTCCCTAGGTAAGCGTCTCCAGCCTGCACACAACAGGCGGTGGGCTGCAGGCCTAGCGTGTGCTCCGTGTCTGTCTCTGTGTTGCGGTGCCACGTCCAGCAGCCCCTTGCACCCTGCAGAGGTGGCTCCCTGTGGGAATCGCCCAGAGCCAGGGAAGCCTTTGCTTCCTAACCTCTTGGGCTTCGTGCGGAGCCCTGGGCTGTCCTCCTCCTGGCAGTACCGCCCCCGTGTGACAGGCGGGGGAGGGGGAGCGGCCGAGCATGTGCTTGAGACTGTCGCTGGCTGCCACTTCCCAAGGACGGGCTGCTGCGGTGGTGGCACCTCTGTCTGAGGAGAGCCAGCCACAAGCCCTGGGGCCCTGCAGTGCAAAGCGGAGGAGCTGCCTCACTTGGGAGAGCAGCTGGGTGACCCCTGGCTCCTCACCGGGTGCCTGTCTTCACACTGAGAAGCCAGAAGCAGGGAGCGTGAAAAACTGGCCCTCAGGGATGAAACTGCACCACTGAGCATTGGCTAAACATGGTGCTTATGTCCAGGAGACAGAGACTGTCCTACTGAGGCTGGCAGGGAGCAGGTTGGAGTGGGGGCTGAGGCCAGCATTGAGCTCTGTCACAGACCCACCTCCAGAGTGCTCGCTCAGCTGAGGGCAGCTGGACGCCACTCTCACGACTGCCATCAGTCCAGTATGCTCTCTGATGGCCCTTGCCTCTCGTGTGCCTGTGCTTCCGTGGTCTGTGCATCCGTGTGCCTGTCTGCTTCCTGAACAGCGAGTCCTCCAGGGCTTGGGGTGGGTCTGATCTGGTGATTGCAGGGCTTGGGGCCAGGCTCATGGGGGAGAGCAAGAAAAATAGACAGGAATCTGATATCCACCTCCTGCAAAACTAGGCTAATCTCAGCCAACCTCCATGTCCCAGAAGTCTATGATGAGCAAGGTCTGTGTCTGCCTCTGTCCTCCGAGGGGTCATTCTCTTTGGACCTGATGCATCAGCGTAGGGCCGCAGGTCCCCCATGCACAGGTGTGTCTGGGAAGAAGCGTTCCGGGATCCATGCATTGAGGAGGCTGGGTTAAGCAGGTCTTCTCGGAGACATCGATACAGCAGTAGGCATCTCCGGGAGGGCATCAGCTCCTGCTTTCTATGGTCAGGGAACCCTTTTCCTTGGAGAGTCCAATGGGACTGGGTTTTAAGGAGCAGCCTCGGGAAAGGCCAGCCCCAGAACAGTGGGCTGGGCAGCAGGACAGCTGTCATACATCCAGGAAACTTTCAGAGTCGTGCCTGCATCCAGGCCTTGCTATTCCGAGACAGAAAACTGAGTCTGATGCTGTCTGTCCCGCATCCAGGCGGAGATCACAAGGTTGTTTCCAGCCTCTGGAGTCAGGGTACCTGAACGTTTTTCTGTTTGGGCCGAGAGCCCTGAGTAAGTGACCTGTGCACGTGCCCTGTTCAGAGGCCAGAGCCTCAGGCCTCCTTTCGTCCCCCTTCCCTGCTGGTCTGCAGAGTCAGCAGGAGGCCCAGGCAAGGAGCCCTGCACCCCGTAGCCTCCCAGGTCCGAGGGAGAGGACGATGACTGTGCCTGCGAGGCCAGGGAAAATCTCCCTAGAGAGGCCACAGAAAGCCCCATGGAAGCAGGGAGGGAGAGTGTGGGAACGCCCTCTCTGTGTCTCCACTGGCCAGGGTCTACAGGGGCCCTCCTTGGAGGCTTCTGTCGAGTGCCAGACAGCTGCACTGTGACCAGCGTCTGGCCCTGCCCCCTGGACGAAGCAGTGCTTGTATGGCCTCTGCTCTCTCCAGGTGAGGCCTGTTCTGGCCCAGGCTTCACTTGGCCAGTGAAGGACCAGACCCAGTGGACCAGTCGTCAGCAGCTGTGGTCCCTGGGGCCAGCAGGAAGGGAATGGAAGACCTGTCTGGGGATGGCGGGACAGGTGGTTCTTTGAACCCTCCCAGAGCAGAGTCAGAAATAGCAGCAGCCAGTACTGGAGTCACGGTGACGCCCACAGGGCCAGGAAGGCGTTGGTCTGGCACTTCCGTGAGCTCAGGGGCCTGGGCCCAGTGACCCAGGAGAACATGACAGACCCATCCTCCGGGGGCCACCATGCTCACTGATCTGTGTTCCTTTTCCAGGCAGTAGTGAGAGCTCAGAGTTTAGTGAAGAGATGTCTTCAGGGCTGGAAAGGTGAGTGTGGCCTCAGTGCGGCCTCCTCTGAGGGAGGTGCTCAGGGACCAGGGAGCCGAAGACAGCGAGGAGGGCGGGCAGAAGAGCAGCCCACAGGGCGCCCGTACTCTGAGCAGCCCCACTCCTCCTCTGTCCAGCCCAGCTGCAGCAGGAGACCTGGGAACAGATTCCGTCTGAAATGTGGGTTCTGGAGTCTGGAAGCCTGAGGAACTACCTGGTGTTGAGATGGGCATGTGGCTCCGCCTGGTGGGGTCCAAGAGCATTGCACCCCCCAGCCTCAGCCTGGGCACCGATTGAACACGGCCGACCCTCTTGACTCCCTTGGCCTGGGTTTGGCTCCCTGTAGCCTGTCTACCCAGGCCTCAGGCCCCTGGCCCAGGGCTTCACCTGCCACCTCTGTGCTAAGGTTCCTGTGCCACATGGGGTCTGTGAACTGAATCTCCTGCCACTGTGGCCCCACCAGAAGGGAGGGCCATGGCGGGGACTTGGGGGACTCCAGTGACGCAGAACGTCCAGGACAGGCAGGTTGGTGCATCCTTCAGGGTAGCCCTTCCACCAGCATCTGGGGACCTGGACACACAAGCATCCACGCTGACACGGTTACACAAACTCATGTACATATACACACGCAATCAATTACACGCACGTGCACACTCACATTTGCACCTACAGTCACACATACACATGCAGTACTCATTCACACACTCTCATACGTACACGTGCATACCATTACACCGCCCTTTCACAAACACAAATATACGCACTCACAGTTAAACACACTGACTTGTACACTGTTATAAACACACACACACACACACACAGGGCTCGCACATGCATTTATACTCATGTATATGTGGGTATATTCACTCAGACATGTGTACACACATGCATGTATATGCACTCACTATCCATGCTCTCACACGTGTGTGTGCATTCATTCTTGCGCACACACATATGTGCGTACACACACTCACCTGTCAAGCTAGAGCTTCTGTCTCCTCAGTCATCATACTCATGAGAGGAGATGGACCCTGCTCAGCCCCCCTAGGTTCTTGGCTGAGCCTTGCTCGTGTGCAAGGTGCCATCTTGGCCCTGCGCGTGGGTAGACTCGCTGAATCCCCATACTGCTGCACAGCGGCCGTTCGTACCATCCCCATTCCATGCGGGAGGGAAGCAAGGCTCCGGGAGGCAGTGACCCGCCTGCCTCGTACTCATCCGTTGCAGGCAGAGCTGACCCAAATCCATGGCCTCCTGACCACAGAGGGCCGCTGTGCCAGCTACGGGGCCTGGGCCACAGTAGCCGCTCGGTCTGTGAAACCAGGACGGGGTCGAGAAGGGGAGTGATGACCCGCAGTCCCTAAGAGGCTCCTTCTCCTGCCCTCCCCAGGACTCCTGGAGGGACACGCCACGTTCCCCTTTGGGTGGCTCTGGCGAACGCACCCAGGTGCTCTTGCTCTGGGACAGCAGTGGGGAGGTGAAGCAGACAGGCCCGGGGACAGATTCCGGAACTCTGCTGCAGTCAGGGACTCCTGGGACACCTGAGGAGGAGGGCCTCACAGGGAGGACAGCGCTTCCCTTGGTCGCAGGCCAGCGGGAGGACATCACGTGGGAAGCTGCAGCCCAGTGCCGAGATCCCGAAGAGCAACCAGGGCTGAGCCTTGTTCATTCTCTCACCTTTTCATCCCTTCATGTGCCCATTCATTCATTCATTCATTCATTCATCAGTAGCTGTGTATCAAGCGACTCCTGCCAGATTCTGTGGTAGTTCCCAAGGGCGTTGCAAATGTGGCTCCTTCTAGGGACCCAGGGCTAAGATTAGAGCCCCTAGGTAGGAGGATGGTGGTGACGGGATTCCCTGACCCGGGGAGACGCTACTGTGCACAGTTCTGTCATGAGCACATTAAGCTGCATTGGTTTCTAGCCCTCGGGCCCTATCATCCAGAAGTGTATAGTAGGTGCTTTCTGGGGTGGGTCCCCTCCAAGCGCCCACCAGTCACTTGTGCAAATACCCAGCCTGATCTCTGCAGCCTCTGAATAGCCCTGCAGGGAGGATGTCCTGTTTCTCGTTCTCTCAAGACCTAGCTCTTGGCCCATCCCTCCTTGCTGAGGGGAGCAGGAGGCCACCGCCCCAGAAGATGCCATGGGGTTCTGATGTCCCCTCCAATCAGGACCCAGCCCCAGTGCAGCACTCCCCTGGAAGCCAGCTGCCCCTCAGCCTGCAGAGCTGCTGGTCCAGCTACCAGTGTCCATTTCATTCTGCACTGGCCGCTTCTCATGTTCCTCAGAAAGAACCCACCCCAAAGCCCGCAAGCAGCCTAGGCTTTCCTGGAGACTCGGGGGGGAAGGGGAGTCGAAGGGGAGGAGTCACGTCTCAGCCTGGAAACTGGTCACTTCGCTCTTTTCCCTTGTAGTCTGTTCCCTTCACGGTGCCATCCCGGGCTCCTTCTTCCTAATCTTCATGATCAGCCCCCCTGGGTCCTCCTTCCACCCCCAGCAATCCCCAAGCCAAATACTCCCACTCTGTAAAAGACAGTAGAGTCCCTCTTCCCAGAAGCCCGGGTCCAGGGGCCAGCATCTGCCCAGAATGAGCCTCCCCTGGGAGACCGCAGCTCCCTGCATCATTATAACTGCCTGAGCAGAGGCCGTGGAGCTGGTCCCAAGTGTGCAGGGAGGGCTGGGCCCACCCGAGGGTGTAGGCAGAGAGGGGAGAGGCCTGGCTAGAGCAGGGGCAGCACTTGGCCCACAGCTCTGAAGCTTAGGGGCCACGGCCTTCGACTGACTTTCCCACCTACTACCAGTCCTGGTGACAAGCTTGGCCCGGTGAGGAGAAAGAATGGAGCCAGACAGCAAGACGAAGGGCAGGGAGACCCTGGACACCTCCATGGACTGAGGGCACATCCTGGTCACCATTAGTGCCACTGCACAGGTGGCGGGAGGGGTGCCACTGCCCGGCCCCAGGTAGGATCACCCAGCCCCATCTTGTGAGTTTGCCTTCTCTGACCTACACATGTGGACGTCTCAGCCTGGTGGCTGGAAGGTGGTCCATGGGCAGCCAGAGGTCAGGCTGCATGCACTCAGGTTCATGGACTACCCACACTGGAGCCCACTGAGCCCCAGGGACCCACTCTGCCGCTCTCCATGGGGATGGGTCAGGTAGGGGACCCCAGGGTATGGCACCAATGCCTGGGCCTGCTGGGACAGGCATGAAACTGCAGGGCGCTAAGGGGACCCTCTTCTGCTGCTCCTCGTCCTCCTGTCCCTCATCCACATCTGCCTTGGCAAGGTCACTGGTCCCCGGGGCTGAGAAAGAGCAGCCAGACTCGGGGAGGCACTCATTGTTCATTTTTTAGCTCCCGGGCTAAAGACCCTAAAGACCTCCCCATCCTCGATGATCCAGAAACCAGAGAGCTAGGGTCACTAGGGCACAGGGCCAAGGTGGGCCACTCCTTCCTGACTCCCTAATGCCAGAGAGCAGTACAACACACCCCAGTCCCAGGGGCTGCCCCAGGTGGCATTTTCAACACAGGTTAAACTGTAACGGAAGGGTTGGGGACTGGGCCCGGCTGGTCTCCAGGAGACCCCGACTCCTCCGACAAGTAGACTGGGGGAGTGTCAGGCGGAGGTGGTGGTAAAGGAGCCAGTGCTTTTCATGCCTGATTTGGAAAGCAGGTGTCGGCCCTAAGGTGAGAACTGAATTAGCCTGAGTTAAAATTAGGGTTGTTGTTGTTTTCGTTTTCGAAGAAGGAGGAGAGCTGGCCCTATAGCCTCGCGGCTAAGAAGCCTGGGTCCCATGTCACTTAAGTGTGGCTCCAGTTCTGGCCCCGCCAGCTCGAAAAATACACTGGGCGCGTGCGCGTGTCCAAAACCCTGACAGGGTGGAAAAATGGAAGAGGAGGGATTGCGGTGTGACCACATCCCACTGGGGGCTGCCTTCTCCTTCTCCCTCTCTGTTTCTGGCGAGCACCCATGCATGCCCTTAGGCAAAATTTTAAAATTCAGTTTAAAAATAAGAGGAACAAAATGGATTGTATAGACAAACACATACAGGAATGTGTGCAAATACATAAAGTCATTCATGTGGGCTATCTCTGGGTTGTAGGGTTACTGAGTGAGTTTATTTATTTATTTTTCCATTCTCCAAGTTTTCCACAATGGGTAAATGTTTTTCTTCTACCTAGAAAACAGTTAGCATTGAGCTTTTTCAAAGAGCACATAATCCGTGATGGTCACGATCAGCTTTCAGAAAGTGAAATATGAGCGCGGTCCCAAAGTCCGTTATGAGCCAGGCTGTACATCTTCCCTAGTCCTGTGGAAGAGGCAGGCCGCAAGTCCAGGGGTGGGAAGACAGGGCCTGGAAGAGGGACCCTCGAAGGACCCATGGTGAGAAGCCTCTCTGGTGAGTGAGGGAGTGGAAGGGAGGGGACCGTGCCCCCTTCTCTCTGAAGCAGGATGGCTCCTGGTCCTTCCCTGAAGGTGGGGGACACAGCAGGGATGAGGTAGACTCGGGAGTCCTTAGTGAACCGGTCC